CGCCTCCCTGTACGATGCATATTTATGGGCTCTACGCGAGCTGCTTTGGAACGCCCGTCGAATGGCCTGTAAAAAAACAGCCGAGAAAACAGTATAAACTCGTTTTTGAAATAATCCCGAACAACCAAACTTATGTTGTTACACTGTTCATGGAGTCTCAACAACTGTCCCAAAGTACCGTTTTCTAAGAGGTGTCGGCTTTTGTCTTCACGTACAGTTATGGTTGCCGGGCGGTAAAAATACCCGGATTTATATATTACGAGTCTGAGGTTTTATTAAAATAGGCCAAGATGAACTTGAGAATCACACATGACATGACCAAATGTTGTTTTTTGCGGCTAATAAGTCATAATAACAAAGTCAACATGTATACCATTATGTCTTGTTTGCGTGCCTACACGAACAAAATCGATCAAAGCATATCCTAAGAACAATAAAATCAATATGGCCGCCAGTCGGTTACTAGTATTTTAAATAAAATCACAAAACAAACCGACGTCGATCAGTTACCGATCACGTGTGACATCCACACCAAGTCTGAATAAAATCTGCATGGGAATGTCCGAGGAACGGTTGATGACATGTTCAAAATTTGTGATTTTTTTTGACGAAAACAACCATCGTTAAATTTTATCGAAATCTCGTGAGAATCATGCAACCCATTACGTCTTGTCTCAAATTTAAACAAAATTTGTGAAAGTAAATCTAAGAAACGCCAAAAGAGAAATAGCTGCCAGATGGCCATTTTCAAATTTATCACGAAACAAAATGACATGCAGCAGTAAGCCAGCACGTGTGACGTCAATACTAAATTTGAATGAAATCTTAACACCAAGGGTGCCCCCGAAGCGGTTAATTTTTGGGGGGCAAAACAAGTCATCGGTCGGTCAAAGGTCACATGTACCAACTTTGAATAGAATCGATCAAATGATGTCCTGGAAATGATTAAATACACATGAAAATGAAACCGATATGGCCGCCAGTCGGCTTTCTCGAATCAAATCACAAAGGAAACTGACATCCATCAGCAGACCATCATGTGTAACGTTCAAACTAAATCTGAATAACATCTGTTCAGCTATGCCCTAGAAACGGTGGATGTCATGTACAAGTTTTGTGACTTTATTTTTTCTCGAGAATATCCGCCAGTTAGTAACATTTTTATCGAAATCCAAAAATACCAGAGAGAATTTTGTAATTCGTTACGTTTTGCCTTTGTACCGAATTTAAATAAGAATTGGCTGCCTGTCGGCCATTTTGACGTCAGAGGCTTTGACAGCCAATCAATTACTCAACTAGCTCAGTTGTAACTAACTCTAACCTCTATACGTAAAGAGGGCGCCGTTTATCCCCAGTTTTAGTGAATCACGTGCGCCATCCGTTCACTACAATAAGTTTACCCGGCAGAACATTTTTACAGAAGTCAGATATCAATAAATACTTCGGTTGTCACATACATTTTAATTTTTCCCACTTTTCGTGGTGCGTTTTCAGGTGAAACAACTGCGGGGGAAAAGCGTTCATAGTGAGGTGATTGACGTTAAAATCAAAGGCTGCTTGTTTGCTCAGAACGCATAACAATTTATGGGGAGAATATTAAGCGCAATGATTCTGTAGAATACTTTATTTTTGCGTAGAATTAATTTTCGCTATTTTCCTTGTAAAAAATTAATTCAGTAGATATAAAATCCAGCGAATATACTTTTCTATGGTTGCCAGGCGGTGAAAATGTCCGGATGTTCGCCCCGAGAATTAAGCGTGATCCCTTCCCCAAAAAACGTCTGCGTCTGTCGATCCCCACGCAAACTTCCGAGGCAATAACGACGCCCATGGTATTTGTTTTACTTTTGGTTTCCCGTCCTATTGTGTGACCCATTTGACTGGCATGTTCAACATTTACCCAGAATTCCATATTCGTTTATAGATATGTATTGTGTTCGCGATTGACCAGTGTTCTGTGTATATTAATACAGACAATAAATTAATAACAATCATTTATTTAACTTAAACTGTAGTTATGGGCCGTCTTACTGTGACGTCATTTGTTTACATTGTTGTCGACCATCAAACAAAAAATCGTGGCCGATACATCACTATATTGTTGCTCGCAATCCACTATGACGACGTTGACAAAAAAATCCTTCTATTAACAGAGAAACATATAAGTATATTCAATAACAATAGCAGCGAACAATGTCCTATCGCCAGGAACCAACCAGTCAATGTACACGCATGCGCAGGAAAGTGCGCCCTCTGTATGTAGTACTGAGGTCCGGTCACGTGTGACCGTAGAAATTCAAATAAACAGGAAGTGATTTGATCCGTCATTACACATGATATTACTTGTCCAGAAAAAAATAATTCCAGTTAAAACGTTATTTAATTCTGAACTATTCCAGAAACTACTGCAGACTTCTATGTATTCTGGTTATCTTGTAAAAATTGCGTCACTTCCGCTTCGTATTTTGTTTTCCATTGGATGTTCAGTTTAATCCTTTCCATTGCCATTTTCGCGGTTTTGCTTTCCAGTGGATCTTTGTGTACTAACTGCATTAGCTGAAAAAATAAATACAGCACCACGTGACTTAAAACCCAATGAGGAATTGTCCTGAGGTAAAGACATTACGACTTACACGACATGCATTATGGGTGATTTTGAACAGTTTCCGGATCTCAAATATGTAATACATTTGTTGTGAAATATTATTAGTCTAAGCTGTCGAGACTAAAGTTCCCAGAGGATACGGTTTGTTATTTTAACAACGTTCATGGGCGCCAAAGGAGAGTGGGTTAACTTGATTCTGGATCTACCGGAACCGGAAACAGGGGATGGGTCACCCAAAAATCCAGATGAGGTTGTCTATATAATGTAGGATTCTGTGAAACAAAACTTAAACACATAAGTAAGATCACTAACTTAAATTTAATTCAATATAGAAATGCAATTTAATTAAACTTAAATCATGTTTGAAATTCTATAGTCTAAGTCGTGTCTTGGTATTTTGATTAAGAAACAGGATAGCATAATTTTTTTATGCAATTCCGGTTTCGCGTGTTATTGACAAACTCCAGGTGCGAGTTCATTGAGTTTCAGTAGAAAGATATATATATATATACGGCGATATGCGATGATAATCTCACGAGAAGCGAACTCTCGCGATTTTCAACGTTTGGAAGAGATCACACTCCAAACACTGGTGGAAGTACATTCATGTTTACATGTGTGATGTTTTGCTAAAGAAAACCTTATGCTTTCACAAGTCAACGCCTGTTTTATTTTATCAAAAACTGCGTACACTAATCTCGTGAAATCGCGAGATTCAGATGAAGGGGACATTCGTGTGATTGCGACTATTCAAAGTTCATATACAAGAACGAAAAAAAAAATATTTAAAAATTACTGCGCGACTCGAAGAAAATTCGAACGTCTTTGATTACGTTTCATACTTAGATATGCAAATACGGTGTGGCAGTGGTGAAAGTCGCGATCGGAATGAGTGCAACGGAAATGAGAGCGCCACCAGTGTTTGGAGTGTGGAGAGAAAGAGACCCAATATCGCTCGCGTAAATCGAACGTAGTTCTATCCAATAGCATTACAGAACGCAATCAGCAACATTTTCACAGATTCACTAATTTGTGAGTTTTTTGCGATCTCGTTATCATTTCGCAGTTCGCGTAACTTCTTTAATTCTCGCGAGATCTGCATCGCATATCACAATTTTGCATGACGTAATCTTATAAATCTTTAGTTGAACTATTCATAATCATCAACTTATGCAAATTTACGCGTCCCAGGGTCACATGGTATTTACACTAAGTCAGCAAATCAATTGAATTGAAACTTGACGGAAACTTAGTTCATGTATATAGAAACTATAACAACATGACTTAATTAACACAATTTTCTACTCAATATTATGACGATGACCTCCAGCTGTGAGGGCGCCCTACTTGCCGCCATTTTGAATCAGTGAAAAATAGATACCTGTTTCAACCGTGATTCGTCGTTCACAAGTTGCGTCACACGACCAATAAAAGACCTGGAGCCGAATCCAACTTTACCGAACCTGAAAGAAGAACTTATTTACTCAATATCACTCAAAAAGCGGGAATATATTAAGTTAAGTACGATACCGGAAATGAGGTTTAAGAGAACATTTCTTGAAACAAAAATTAATATTTGTGTCACCATTTTGAATCCGGGACATTTATGAAGCTTCAGTTTCTTTCGCCAACATTTGTTTTGGATAATTCAAAAGATATTGTTGTGAAATGTATTCCACGGAGGTAAAATATGTCTTTTCATTTAATTCAAATAATAGTGCTCTTGATGTTCCTCCTTCCTCATAATGATATTTTCAAAATAATGCATTTTTCTTCGCGACTCATTTCTCTCTTCACTTATTTAATTTAATACTACTTTTTTCAACTATTTTTGAATTTTACGATACTTTCACTTTTAAAAAGCTTCTAATCCTGGCTTTATAAAGTATGGTAGAGTTTAGTAGAGTAGGCAGCGCCACAGCAGTTGAGCAGTGCCACAGTCTTCAAATAGCGTCACAGCCGTTGAGCAGCGCCATAGACCACTTTTCCGGAAGTAGCAAAACTGGGGTGCAAAAATACTCCTGCTTTGTCATGGCGGACAATAGTCGATAGAAAAGAATTTTAATTTTGTCAGGTCGATTGGTACACCCAGAAACATTATATCACGCGTGCAAGTTTACGTTACACCCTAAAACGGCATGCGCGCGCATGCGAAAAACCTTATCTTCGACTTCCGGGAAAGTCGTCTATGGCAGTCGAACAGGACTACGGACTACTAGTAGCGTCACAGCAATTGAACAGCGCCACAGTCGTCGAGAAGCAACACAAACTTTGAACAGCGCCACAGTCGTCGAGAAGCGTCATAACCATTTAACAGCGCCACAGTCGTCGAGAAGCGCCATAACCATTTAAAAGCGCCACAGTCGCCGAGAAGTGCCACAGTCACCGAGCAGCGCCGTAGTCGTGTGCCACGAATACACAATATGCATGCATACTCACTTTTCCTTTATGAGATTCCAGTTTTCGATGACAAAATCGTACGCCAGTGCGTGTCCTGTTTGAGTTCTGCCAACATTACCGATATTGGAAGGGCCATGCATCATACGTGTCTTGCTGTCATCTAAACTCCATTCCATGAACCTGCAACAAAAAAGTTTTTAATAATTAAAGAATCACACACAAAAATCATTGTCATTGCTACGCCACGGCACGCTACGTCACACCAAGCTTCGTCACGCACGCTACGTCACGCCGAGCTACGTCACATCAAGGTATGTCACGCCATGCTACGTCACGCCAAGCTACGCCACGTCACGCCAAGCTACGCCACGTCACGCCACGCTACGCAACGGCACATCACGTCACGCTATGTCACGCTACGTCACGCCAAGCTACGTTACGCCACGCCGAGCTACGTCACGCCATGCTACGTCACGCCAAGCTACGTCACGCCACGATACGTCACGTCACGCTACCTCACGCTAAGGTACGTCACGCCATGCTACGTCACACCACGCCACGCTACGCAACGGCACATCACGTCACGCTATGTCACGCTACGTCACGCCAAGCTACGTTACGCCATTCTACGTTACGCCAATCTACGCCACGCCATGTTACGCCACGCCGAGCTACGTCACGCCATGCTACGTCCCGCCAAGCTACGTCACACCACGATACGTCACGTCACGCTACCTCACGCTAAGGTACGTCACGCCATGCTACGTCACGCCAAGTTACGTCACGCCACGCTACGTCACACCAAGCTACGTCACGCCACGCCATGCTACGTCACGCCAATCTACGTCACGCCAAGGTACGTCGTGCATGTTACGCCAAGCTACGCCACGCCGAACGTCACGCCAAGCCACGTCACGCCAAGCTACGCAACGTCATGCTACGTCACGCCAAGCCACGTCACGCCAAGGCACGTCGTGTCATGTTACGTCACGCCGAGCTACGTCACATCAAGCCACGTCACGCCATACTACGTCAGAAGACTTACCTCCACAGTAACCATGGATACGTAGTATGTGCCAAAGCATGACGCAAGTCGCCGTCGTCATTGAGTTGTTGTTTACTCCACACGATGTCCCACTCTTGTTCCCCGCCATTCATCACGCCAACAGAGTAAACAAGTCTACACAGGTCCGCCGGTACACTAAATAGCAATAAAACAAATCGATTCATCACTAATTACACACAAATCGCCTGGCATGTACGATGGTGTTAGTTGTGTAGAGCCACCAATAATCTTCGATTTGTAACAGATTAATTAAAGCAGGAAGAGTCGTCACCAAGTCCCAAGCGTCCCAAGCGTCGATAACAACACACACTAAAAAAGCAAAGGCTCATGGGTAGACGCTTGTTTGTAAACAATGACACGCTATGGCCATCTGACGCATGCGCAGGTGACGACACCTCCGCTTTAAGTTCTGTAGACGCCTTGACAGAGCTATATCACCGAACGTTCTTTGTTGCTAAGACGCGCACCGCTGTTCCATATTTTAGTTTATGGTAGTCGCTCTCAACGATATGCTGCAAGCGGCTTTCTGAACGCCCGGGACAGAGCCACGGAATAGTGGCAGCGAGCCCCAGTCGGACGGAGAGTGATTAAACCGATGTCATGAACGGCCTTTCTTCGCCCGTTTACGTTACGGGGGATTTCCATCGCTAGATGGCGCAGTAGATTTATTTTTACGCGTGATAGACAATTGAAATATACTCACGGCTCGTCCCTTTCCAGCCAGCCAGTAAACATTGCAAGAGCTTGACTGATGCAGTCGTCGTCGTTATTTTCACACATCGTTTTCAAAGCCAGGTTACGAAGGTGCCTTTGTTGCAATGGTTCCTGTGCCTCCAGGGGACCATAATCAACACTAGTGGTCCATCCCAATCGATCGGCCACGTGACCCATCTTATCTTTTATGTAATTCTGTAACATTAAAGTTTGCTACCATTAAAAACAAATACTCATAAATCCTTGAAATCCAGTAAGAGGGTTTGGGTTACTGTATATTCAAAATTCTGAAATCAAACTACAGGGTCACTGTACTAATTTCTCCACAAAACAACCTCGAAAATTGATCAAAAGGGCGTTTTCCGAATATTTTTCAATTGGTCCCTATGGTAGAAACATTTCATCATATCTCAAAGTTTGGAGACTTATTCTAAAAAATAATGATATGTTGTGCCCCCACCACAGATGGCTGCACGAAAAAATGTAGAATTTTAAGTATTAGTATTATTCATGTGTTTCCATGAATTCAAAATATTCCAAAATGGCCCTTTTTTGATTATTTTGCATTGTTTTATTGCAAACATGTCCTTCTTTCTCCGTAAAAACTAATGACATGCATGTATGTGAACCATTACACAACAATTTATGAATGATTTACTGTGATATTTGTTTCCATGTTTTAATGGCAGCGAGCATGCGCTGTGAATGTCGATGTATTTACCCCCCCCCCCCCCCCGCGTGCGGTAACATAAACATATTCTGAGAATATCCGTAATGACTTATTTCCCATCTACTATACGATTGTAGACACGCAAATTAAACAAATTTACTTGTAGAATAATATTTCCCGTTCGCTGCGAGATCTCGCGTTTTGCGCGAAAGGCGCAGACTAAACGTCAGGAGCAAATTGATTTGGAATTTAACTTTTTTAAAGTTCAATGTCCGAATGCTGATCTTTGAAGAGAGGAACATTACGTCGAGATGCATTTACTTCATCAAAATTGATCATCATTAAATATGTATAGAACATTATTAAGCGGGAAATACATTCGCGTTTGACGAACCCCACGCGATTTTCATACACCACTACGACGCTATGATCTTTGTTTGTCCTGTTTTGTTTTTCGTTTGAATTCACGCATAACTCGAGATCTCGCAGTGAACGTGGAATGATCTATTGCATTACTTTACAAGTATTTGCACTAAAAAAATATTCTGACATGAACAACATGCTAACCAAATGTCATTCTTGTGAAATATTCAATTGACAATGTCAATGCAGATATATTGACCGGTCTATATCCAATAACATGTCTTATTATACTCATTGTATAAGTTCGCCCCGTTGATTGGCCATAATGCAGTCACGTGGTAGTCAATATAACTCATTATTGACTCGGAAGCAATGAGGAAAATCCAGTGACCTCGGTCAATAATTTCTTCTTGGGGTCATTAAAACTGCATATTGACCTCCGCTTTTAGACAATGTCAATGCAGATATATTGACCGGTCTATATCCAATAACATGTCTTATTATACTCATTGTATAAGTTCGCCCCGTTGATTGGCCATAATGCAGTCACGTGGTAGTCAATATAACTCATTATTGACTCGGAAGCAATGAGGAAAATCCAGTGACCTCGGTCAATAATTTCTTCTTGGGGTCATTAAAACTGCATATTGACCTCCGCTTTAGCAACTATTTGTTTAATGTTGACCAGCATATATGCAATAACCTGTTAGGATCTGTGGTAACTACCTGTAAGATTCCATATGATTCACTGAGGTACATTCGTTCACGCACGTAGTTAAAACCTCGCATAGCAGCAGTCCACGGTAAATATTCGTTCTCCTGGTTTAAATATAGCGTCAAACTGAGAGCACGATGTGTGTCGAGTAAACCAACTCTAAGGAG